CTACATTTGTCAAATTTATCCTCATTACTTACTTCCCGATAAAACGAAATACGTTTTTAATTCGGCAAATGTCTATTACTAGACATACATAAAAGTAATGCAGAACTCTTCAACTTAACGAGAATATGTGTGTGAGTGAAACGAGCACTATGAACACTCATCTGTTCTTAATCTGTTTATAATCTAATTCTTTTAATGTTTGTCTTTAATTAGTTACACTAAATTGGAGAAAGTCTAATCAAAGTAAATAAACTTCCGACACTACATATACGTTAATCTTCTCTATGATTGTTAAACTATCATAATTCAAACTAATTTATTGTCTTTATTTTTTGGTGTACACCATTTAGCTGATTATTGTCAGTATGAGACTTTGTGGTGATTGTAGTATTTTAACAATTGAATTGACAAGTCAATCTAAGCTAGACCACCAAACTGTGTATGACCATTTAACAGATTTAATGCAATCAATTCATCCTCTAAATTCATATTTATTTGTATATGACTTAATTTCAAATCTATGAACAAACTTTGTTGGTATAAACACAGACTGGTGTACTAATTGTTAATTTGATTAGGTGAAACATTCGCAGTTTTCCTTTCTTGACATTTATACCTAAAATGTTACTTTGATAATTGCGCAGACATTATATTTTATTTTGAGATAATCTATTATCAGTTAACGCTGTTCGAATGAGATTTATACTAGACGCGATTAGAAACAAGCTACTTTAACTCTACCATTTTTGAGTTATTTCTATCTATCTACACTAAAATATACTCTTTTTCAACTTTAGAAAGTCACACAAAAGTGTCCTTTAAACGTAGTTGTGTTTTTTTCAGTTGTTATGAAATTAAATCAGATTGTTTCTGTTGTAAGAATCATAATAAATAGTACTCTGCGACTTTACATCACTTGGTTCAATAATATTCGTATTAGCTTACATGTATCCTCTTGGCTTAAAACTTGAACAATGGATAATCAGTCTGCCAATATTATAAAATAAATGATATTAATGAATAGTATTAAAATCAAAATCCATTAATATGTGTCTATTCGAAGTCAATAATATTCGAAATAACAGGAAAAGCATTATTTAAAATGCATCAGTATTCACACTTGATTGATCACTAGGTGGTGATCAATGTCATGTGCGTCAACTCCTTCTTAGTGCAGATCGAATGCTATCGGCCATGTGGCAATGTGGCAATGTCGAGTCACCTAGACTAGTGTCCACGTCGCAACTTGGTCGATAGCTTTCGATCTGCACTGAGAAGGACTTGGCACACATGACATTGACCACCACCCAGTGACCAATCAATTGTAATTACATCGCAGTCCTACAGGAGGTCGGTCACAGCCCTGAGAGCCTAATGGTAACTTCTCTGACTGTGAAGCTGGGTGACACGGGATGGAATCCGTCAGGGAGCACCAGTTCCCTCAAGATTGCAGGTACACCTTGCTGACGAGTGCCAAGTAGCACGAACTCCGGGTCCAGGGTTTCCTGTTGACTACCTCCAACCACCATCTAATCCATCAGTATTCATTGGAATTAAATCTTAATAACTCTCAAAAAATTGCTTTTGGTTCTAAATGCTATGCGATTAGTGTTTGGTAAAGTTTGTTACTAATTACGTGAAATACTCATCAGTGTGAAAGTGTTTACTAAAAGCACTTGAGAATAGTTGCATATTTACTACTCTATACATGGTTTGTTTTATTATTCTTGTTTTTTTTACTAACCTACTGTTTTAAAAAATGCGTTTACAGTATTTAAACAAATCACACAGCTGTTACCTCATAATATTTGAATTTGGCTGGGCAACCATTGAGAACTAGAAGATTGAACACCTCAACAAAGTCTATCTATGACCCAGAACCTTTATAGTCTACAGTGAGCACAATACATTTAGATCGATGTCTATATTTACAGCGTTTTTACGCTTCCTCTTGTTTTTAATGATTGTTTCTCCTATCTTTGCAAGTAGTCACATTCAATTTGTATACAAACTTGTCTGTAGTTATGAATTTAAGTGTAAAACTTCATCCTTCGTTTATTTGCATAATTCTTAAATTTCCAGAACAAAAATTGATTTTGCATCAAAGCACTGTCAGAAAATATCAATTAGTCTTTGCAGCACATTTAGCATTATTTCCATATGTCTAATACATTTCAAGTTAAACAAAAGCTAGAACATTTTGAATGTTATAAGTTTGATCCCGCAACTTTATACAGGACTAATTCTAGGGTAACTATAAATGATTGGCATATTTTCATTTTCTCATATTTAGATAACATTTAATATTATGATTCAATTGATGAATAAGACCTTAAATGAACAATCGGTAATACTATGACATTTCAATAAGAACACTAAGCTACTTTAGCATGAGCAAATGTTCATTAAAATGGGCAACAAACAAAAATGCGGTTTATCCAAAAACATATATTAAAACGTAAAGTCCTCGTTAGAAAAAGCAGTAGGCAGAAGTACCCATTTCAGAAGCATTTCTAGTACTTTTCTTCATCAATTTATAACTATTGATAAAAAAGTTCTAAATAGTTTTAGAAAGTTTTTCTTTGTAATGATTAACATTAAAGTTGTATAGCATTAAAAGGATCTGAATAATTGTGTTTTAAGTAATGTTTGAATGCCAATAAACCTTTTCTAGGCGTTAAATATAACTATTAGATTAGACCCGGAAGTTTTAAAATTAAACTCTAAACTTTGAACAGTAATAAAATTGTTAGAACGTAATTAGAATAGCATAACGCATTTAATTAATTTTTAGCTTACGTTTAACTTGCCCGTTTGTTGATCATTAATAGTATATAAATATATAAGATGACTGAGATTTCTACTTTTCTGTCTCACTATTAGTAAAGTATGTTGGTATAGATATGTAAAGTACATATATTTGTACGCTTTTGAAGTCATGCTTCTTGATAAAGTTCTCAAACAACGATTAACAAGTTTCATTCGTATGATTTTGCAACCAGTCTAATGTAAACGCTTATCTAAAATATATCTAAATGGAAAAATATTTGAACAAAACATTGTGCTTAATAACGTCTTTAAACCGTACAATTACAAGTTCATACATATTGTGTTGTAGTAAGGAATGTATTACGGCATATACATCAAAGTCATGATTGAGTTTTTTGAAATTATATATTAAAGATGATGGACTTCATGTAGATTGTCTTTCTCATTAACGAATTGTACCATTAGAAAATTTAAAAGTATATGATGCATATGATCAAGTTATTTCTGAAAGACAAAACTCTTAACCAGTAGGTTGAAATCATGTCAAGATAACACAACATGTGAAAATATTTCGCTGTGGTTATTTTAGTATAAAAAATATAAAAACTAAGAAACATAATGGTGAAATTAAGGATATGTCGTAGTAAAGGATAGAGCAAGAACAAACACGTAATAAGTTTATAGGTATCACTGCCAAGGTTTGATCTTATAATTTCAAATCAATAATTGATATACTTTTTGTGATATCTCAATGACCAGAAACTGTATTTCTGACGTTTTGTAACTTAATGTAAGCAACTTCTTCAGAGTAACTACAGTAAATACGTCAGAAATACACTTTTCTAATCATTGAGATATCACAAAAAATATATTGATAATGAAACACGAAATAAGGTAGAAAAATATTTTTAATGAGTACAGAAAAAAAATCGTTTGAATAAAAGGTGTGATAAATATGTAACTATAAGATAACTATAACTATATTGGCCAGAGTTGAATACGCGTCTGATATTTTCACATTAGTAATAAAAGATTTTCGCTATATGAAGAAAATAGCTCTCTTCATAGATTTTATGATCCTTTTTCTTAACAAAACCAGAACATGTTTGAAAACACACAAGAATAAGAGTCTATGGAACTAGCTCCGCAGTAATTAAACTGCTGAGTCGATCATAAGTAGTTAATTTTTAGTACGTTGCATCAGCATAGACTTATCAGTCATAATACTTAATTTAGTGACCCAAAACGTTATTTTAATGAACTTATAGATCGTTACAATCTATATCACATTTGAACTCGTGTGATAAGTTTCTTAAAAATGATTTTTAACAAGAAATATTGACAGAAATGGTTTTGTGGAGATTTTAGAAAGTTCACTAGTTGGAATCATGAGTCAGTGGTCTAATGGTTAAGCGCTAGCGCGCGAGACTGATAGGTCCTAGGTCCGAACCCAACAGAGGCAGGATCGTGGGTGCGCACTGCTGAGGAGTCCCACATTAGTACGAAATGGCCGTCCAGTGCTTCCAGGTTTTCCATGGTGGTCTGGCTTCAATTGACTCATGATTTCAACTAGTGAAGAAATATTGAATTGGATTTAATTCAACACATTTTTTTTTCGAAAACTAAGTGAGTATTCTAATTTACATTGTGCGGAAAGGCTATTACAAAATAAGTGTAAACAAATTTTCATTATGTAATCGAGAATTAATAGGTTTTAACTGATTAGGCCTTAATGAAATGGTTGAGATTGATGATTCTCTGAATTTACATTCATGGTCAGTCTAAACTAATTATAGTAAACTGATAAAATAATTCAAACATTCTTTAACTATATCCGGTGTTAGTTGGTTCAAGATGTACTAGCACAAATTCATATCATGAATTGGTTGTTATTCATCAATAAGTTGCATTTGCAAATCTGAAAAACCACCGTTCTCAAGATACAAACCTATGTAACTTATAAAACATTTAAGGAAAATAGACTTATTATTCTAGTCATTTAGTTCTAAGGGTATATTCAAAACTTTAGTACAACTTAATCCGCACAGACAACTGAATTCATTTATTGATGTGATGTTAGGTTAATAATTTATTAGTTACACTGTTATATTTTTAAAAGGCTTCTGTAGTTTGAGTTAAATAGCATGAGTATTCTATTTTATGTTTAAAACATTTGTGTTATTCTTTGATATCAAGTATTTTCCCTGTTTTCTTTTCTAAACTTAAAACAGACATTGTGGATACAATTACTCACTGAACTATTAATTAAAGTCATGTTTTAAAAATGAAACAACAAACATTTCCTACATTCTTCTGTTTATTTAATTTTATGTTTAATGCCGGTGTATTTACTTTTCAAACTGAATTAAAGATTTATCATTCAGACTTGATCACTTCAAACACATTCCAATCACGTCAGTATGAGAATGATGAGAATCTGGTTAGTGTTAATGAATCTATCAGTGATAAAACGATGTTTTCAAATCAGATTAATAGAACAATGAATTCAAGGACTTTTAATTCTACATTACTGTACACCATGAATAATAATAATGACGAGTTTGATTTTCAGTCACCTGCCATAAACAAAAGAATCATTGAAGGTGTTCTAAAACTTTTAATAAAACTTGCTTCCAATAGCAGTACATCCTATTTTCATTATTCAAGTAATCGTTTAAAACGCTCATTATCTTCTTCAGACTACTTGTCTTCCACATCATCGTCAATGTTACCACCAACCTCGTTGTCTTCAACTTTTGCTTCAGATGATTTAAATTTTGTCCATGTTAAAATTCAAGGAATTATATTCGATGTGAAATTTCAACGTCCTGACTACAAGTCGAATGGTGCAGTACATTTACGTAATCTCATGAAACCATATCCTCATTTATTACTAGATCCACATTATGCAGAGCAAGTCATTACAGCTTATAATCCTCTAGTTATGCAGAATCAAATATGTAAAGAATTTGAACAAAACCAATCTAGTAATTATGTTGCTAATAGTTTCTTCATTGTAAATGATATTGGTGCGCTCGTTGACAGACCAATGCATGACAGATTGCACAGATTGTTCTTTCAAATCACATCTGCACTTGGTATACCGAGTATCACGTGGTTACCAAATAGAGTTGGGCAGTTCGAGGTAAGTCAAAGCTTCATCTTAAATTCTATTTATTCTCTAGATGTTTTAATTCGCTCTTTTTTGTAAAGTTGAAGTGAACAGAGATGCTGATTTTTAGTCTAAGTGTTCACTGCAACCGGAACTCACATTTTTGTTTATGACAATATTATACTTCTCTGGAGTCATTTCATAATTTACGCAGATATCTTGGTGGTTGTTGAATATAACTATATTGAGTATTTTTACACAAGACCGATAACTATTTGTGAAATTCGAACAGTAGTCTCCTTCATCACCTCCACAAATTACGTAAAGTCTATGAGATAGAATAAAGCAATCAATTTAAGTCTCTACAAAAACCCGCTATAAATTCTTACTTATGGATAGGTATATTTAAAGTATATATTTAGGTTAGATAAAAAGATTTGTATTCACAAAGTGGAGACAATTTATATCATTAAACTTCAATAATTAAAAAGATGGTAGCGCAAGGAATCTGCTTCGTCTACCTCAACGTCGTGTACGCGTGTACACTTCAAGAATCATCATCGTCAGGGCTAATGGTGCATTTCTTTTTAGTCATTTACTTGACCATTAAATAATCTTCATTTCAAATTTCAATCTTTTCTTTGCTAATAATGTTCATAACTATCTATTTATTATTATTTCCGACGTTTACTATTATAATTCACCTGTGTACAAAACGTTACACTTTTAAAACTATGATACTTCTTTTATATGGATACTATGAAACAACCACCACTTTAGTCGTCAATTAATTATTTTGAATATATCTTCTTTGCTAAGATAACAACTTATTTCTGTTGCATGAAAATGATAGCCAAAAATCTGTTTTCACGAATTATTTCGTTGTATTTAAACCACATCTGTGATGTAATTATTCAGACTACGTGTGTTTGCGAAATGTTTCTTTTTCAGTAACCAACTTACTTAAAAATTAACACAGTGGTTATGATGAAAGCACTTAAGCAGTGGCAGTGAGAAGGTGTTTATATATTACGGATTTAATTGAATGTTGATAACAAATGTTTGTCTGCACCTTTGAGTTTATAAGATCGCTTCAGTTTCTAACCTTATTTGTTAACATTAGTTCTTCCATCAGTACTGATGAGCTGATAAGTGACAAAACTTGAAACTGATATAAACAGATCATCTGCTATATCCTTGTCATTCACAATACAAAAATTGTATTCAATATCAAGGGAGCACTGCATTATTCAGAAGGGTATTTTATTCTTCTTCATGACATTACAATTGGTCATGAGCATTATGAGTACTCAATAACTAAATTATATATATAACATGGTACTGTTCCTAATCAGAGGCTATTGAAAATTTATACAATAATAAAATCCAAAAAGTATACTAGTGGATTGTTTAAACGAAATTTTCAAATTTCTTAGACGTTATTAATTTAGTGAATGTATTGAAATAAACTTACAATAACGACCATAGAAAATCAAACTCTCGACTTGGAAATGACAATCAAAGTCACTTGACTGTATACTGGTGAAAATGTGCTTAATTTCTCAAAATAAAGTATGTCTTTCAGAAAAGACAATATATAAATCTAGTTTATTTCAACTTATTCGTGGACTCAACCTCTGTTAAATTCTTTACAATTAGGATAACCAATGAAGACTTATTTGAAATTAATTTACTTTGCTGATGGTATTCGTTGAAGGCTGATCTCATTTAGAATACCACTGGTCTTTAGTGCTACTCTAACTGGGGTCATCCAGAAATCAAACTAATCTTTATAAAACCCATTTATCAATTCTGTTATCGTGTACTCAATAATTATTTACCTTGAGATGAATTCCTAATGTTTTAGTGAGAAATCGCGACAGCGGGAGTTTACATATTTCAGGGATAAAATGATAATTAGCAAAGGGATTAGATAAACAACACATTGTTTAAGAATTGAGTGAAGTAACAAGAAACCAGTCCACTGGTCCAGTAGTTAAGCGCTTACTTTGAAGTCTAAAGCTTCATGATTCGATCCCTAAAGTTGTGAATGTTTACTAATGAAATGTCTCATAGCAACACAAAACATCTCCACATTTCAACCAGTTTCTCAGTGGTACCTCAGCTGATATTAGTCTGTGTTACTGAAACTTACTGTATAAAATGTGTCTTTTTATTCGAAAATACATTACAATTCTTCCGTTTCTATTCATTTTACTTCTATAATGAAACCAATCAAGTTCACTGCCTCTGCATAATTAACAAGATTATTAATTAGTATTCATATGCTTTTTGTCTATTTCTTGGATAATAATAATAATAATAATAATAATAATAATAATGATCATTTCAGTGACTGACTGAATTATAGATAATTTTGATAAAGTATTTCCTGCAAATTATCAATTAAATAAAAGCTTATTTAAAACAATATATTGTCCAATGTGGTTTTTATATGTTAACAATTTGATTTTACCAATTACTAAGTGAAATATCATTTCTTTAATAACTTTCTTAAAATAAAGAATTTTTAAAAGGGCTTGGATTATATTCAGAATATTACATACCTAAATAAATGGTTGCTCTGGTTTTCAGAAAGAGCATCGGCCTCGTGACTTCCGAAGGAACTCGGCTTTCATCATGAGGCGTCATAACTCTTCTAAATGAAGACCTTCTGACTCCCAGGGCAGAGTTTAAAAGGTTTGAATAATTTTTTTTCTGATTAGCGTTTTCTTAGCGAGTTAGTTTTCTACGGGATGGGGTCGCTAACCCCATGCCCGACCCTCCTCCTTTAACCGGGCTTGGAACCGGCAGTAGCCTCCGGAGGGACTCCAGGCGGAGTTATTCGGAATATTATGGTATATAAAATAAATAAAATCACAATTGTAAAACTTTTGTTTAATGTCAAACATACTTTGTCACATTTTTATTATTTTTTTGTAAGACTTTCATAGATAAGATTAATAGAGTGAGATGAAGAGTCAATTGGTATTCTTAAAATAAAAAGGAATATATTTTGTTGACTCGTAAACATACAAGTGGTGGGTGCACAATAAAGCTATTTCTTTTATAGCTTCATCATTTACCGAAGCCCAGTTTTCTTTATATATATATATATATATATATATATATATATATATATATATATATATATATATATATATATATATATATATATATATATATAAAGGAGAATTATTTTTTATATAATAAAAAGATGTTTATAAGTAGCTCAATTCTTAATTACAATCTAAAATTTCATTAATCACGAACACAATTCCTATTTCAATTCGCTAGTTGTAGAAAAGATTATTCAAGATCAACGATTAAGTTAAATAAAAAAATATCTGATTCATATACTGAACAAAAGCGATTTTTTTAAAAATTTATTCCACAGTTTAATAATAATAATAATAATAATCATTATTATTATTATTATTATCTTTCAATTCTTTGTGAGGAAACAACACGCACAACTGTCAAAAAACCGATATTTTTTTATTATTTTCGTAATGCTAAATTGTTTTCTTTTTAAACATTTTTCCATAAATAATATTCATTGAACACTGAATATTGTTGAATTACAAAAGGGAAACAAAAACAACTTTCGGTGAAGGGAACATCATCTCGTTTTTTTACATCAATTTCTTACTATTTTTTTTTAAATCTTCACCTGAAATCTATTTCCCACTTATTTCTATCTTTCTAGAAAAGACTTAGTAGGTGGTATAATAACGAATTATTTTTATCCTTAAATGTTGTTTTAATTCTAGATAGTAATGAATTGCTAAAATATTGTTATTATTGTGAAAACAACTGCTGTGTACTAGAACACAGGTGGGGACGACCAATTTATGTTAGAATACAATAACAGAATGTCTAGATAAAATATGATAACTATACATTTAATAATTCATTTGCGAATTTCTATTATTTGTTCTTTACATTCTGTATGTTTTTTTTTCTAATTCCGTCTCTGTTCCCTTCAAACTAATCTTCTTAGCATTCCGCTGTCAGGGTTTCCGCTTCCAACTGGTGTTACATACTACTTATATCGACAGATATAAGTAGCATACATCAAACAACGATATTATTTTTCAAGTATATGAATAACTTAATGTGAAGATGGGCTGAAATCAAAATAACATGGTGTAAGTTGATATAAGGCGATCAGTAGGAAGAAGATAGAATCTTCATTTTGATTGATTATTGTTAGTTAACCGTGAAAGATGAACATTGCTCACGGTAAAACTGGAATTCAATTTATTAAGTCATTTACTTTGTCAGCATATTATTCAGATAATAAAAGATTTCTCGAAAAAGTTAAAATGTACTCACAGAACTAGCCAAGTCATATTTTACTATTATTATTATTATTATTATTATTATTATTATTATTATTATTAGAAGCTTTATTCAACATTATATTTTGGTACAACATAGAATTCTCAGCATAAAGTATTTCAACAAGTTTCCTTTTCTTATACCTTGATCTGTTGTGACGATAAATTTTGAATGATGACCAGTTAGATGTTAGGAGTTCGGTAATCCACATTTGATTAATTTTCATTCGTTTCAATGCATATTGCCGGCCACGATGATGTCGCTGATTGTACCTTTTTATATCCCGTATAGCGAAAGGTTGTAAACTTTTCATAAACGCGCCTGAATAGATTGTGTGCGCAATAGACGTAATGATGTGCTAAAACAAACAACAAAACAGATAACTTGATGAAATATCTAGATCGGAGGAACAGGTAGCCCAGATATTCAAGCAGGCCGCCTTCAGTTGCTAATTTATTTTAAATTAGCAGGTTTACAACGTAACAATTCAGTCAAAAAACTTAAGACTATTGGGAATCTTTTTTGTTTGAAGTTAGTTTTGTGGTCATAAATACTCGGCGGAATATCATTACCTTCAGTTTCTTTCTGTTTGTCACTCTACATGATAGTAATATATTTTAGGTATTGTCAACTTTAGCCTTTAATGTACAATCCAAAAACATGGCTAATAATAAATTGATAAACTTTTC